CTGTGTACATGTCCTGATTAAGCAGAGTTGGCACTCAGAAATCATTATTGAACAAATGTACAAATGGCTATTTATATTTTGACATAAACAGCAATAGTTCCTTTAGCCAGTGGGCCTTGCAGCTGCCCTTAGCAGGGTGGCAAGGAGGATAAAGGCCTTGTGGCTGTCCAGAAGGAATGCCTTTGGAGGATGGTGGGAAGTGGGGTGGGGGGTGCTGGTGGGGAGAGAGCCAGCTGGTCTGGGCCTTGTGCTGGGGGAGGTTGCTCCTCAGATGTTAGCTGGGTTGAAAGGTGATAGAGTTGAGGGCTTCTGGTCATTATGTATCGTCCCTGAAGTTCACCAGCCATTTAGCCTGGGGAAGGGGGCTCCCCTGGGCTTGCTTGGCAGCTGGATTTGGTAACAGGCCTGCCCTTGCGTGAGACCTCTTTTGGCCTTTCCCCAGGCAATGCATGGTGCAGGCTGTGGTTGAGAGCTCACTGGATATGAGAGCTGTGCATGACTACTCTTGGCCTTCTCTCTCTCCTCCACCTTCCTTTTTCTCTCTGTTGATTCAGTCATCCTGGGCTGGTCATTGTCCTTAGTGTATATTTCTGCCCCTTCCTCCTTTTGGCCCCTCTCTGTAGCCTAACTTCTGCTGTCTTTGGCAGATAACCATTAGTTTGGTCAGCTTGTTGTCCATTCCTTCAGCTGGTTCCTGTTGGACAAGACAGGGCTGAGGGTAGATTCTTGGCAGATATGCTGACTCACTGAGTTAAAAGCTGTGGAGGGGATTGCTTGGGGCATGCCAGGGGCTAGGCAGTGGGCAGAGCTGCAACAGAGAGTCCCCCAAGGGTCAGTACAGGGTTGTTAGCAGATCTGAGCCATATACTTCCATTGAAATTGGTCTGTTGATGCAAAGAGTTTGCTTGTACCACTGGCTGCCACTGGGTTTATTGGCCATCCTGGTAGTGGGATAAGACCTTGGGATCCCCCCCTCCACCTTGTTCATGTGTTGGGGTCTAGTGCAGATTGGTATGGTACCTCACGGGCACAGAGTCAGCCCAAGGGTTATAGATGATCTTGTCTGGATAGTCTGGAAAAAAGTGATGGTTTTCTTCTACATTTACAGATATTTACACAAACTTTTTACATAAATTAAATTGTTCTTTTTCATTTAACAATGTATTTTGGAGATTTATATAGATCAGTATATATAAACTTATCTCATTCTTTTTAAAGATTCTTTTATTTTGGAAACATTTCAAGCCTAGAGAAAAATTGCAAGTATAATAGCATGAATTCCTTCTACATACAAATTTCAAATTTACCAATTGTTAACCCTTGACTCACCAAACATTTGCATGTGTACTTGGTTTGTATGTGTGTACACATACACTTTCTTTTTTGCGATACTACTTGAAATTGATGTGTAGACTTGTTGACAATTCATCTTGAATTCCTCAGTTTACATTTTTTAAGTTCATTCTCTATAACCACAGTTTAGTTACCAAATTTAGGCAGTTTATAGAGATATACTGTTTATATCCTTACTTGCCAGTTGTTCCATTTAGTACTTATTCTTTTTTCAAACTTGGTTCCACCTTAGGATTATATGTTGCATTTAATTGTCACATGCATCTTTTAAATTCTAGAACAGCTCTCTGACTTTCTTTGTCTTTTATACCATTGTCTTTAAAAGGAATACAATCATCATACAGAATTTTCCTCATTTTGGACTTATCAGATTTTTTCCCCCTGTGAAATATTCAGTTTGGCAAGAATAGTGCCTCAGGACATTGAACCACCCTCAGTGCATCCCCTCAGGAGGCACCTACTGTCAGGCTATTCCAGGAATGTCTATTTTGCCTACTTGGTCAGGTGAGATAGATAGCTTTACCCAGTGTTTTAAAGCATTCATTGATGATTTTTGTCTAAATTATTTATCATGATGATGGTTGCTAAATCATGATTTTCTCCTTATCATTCTTTTTTGATTGGTAGTCTATAAAGTAGAGCTTTCCCTTTTTTCCTTTTCATCTTTTAGAATTAATATGGACTCATGATCCTTTTTTCTCTCGTGTCATAACTTCTTACTGTTAGCATTCCTTTTGAGGCTTATAATTGATTTGGCAAGCATTAGCCCCTTCCGACTAGCTTCTATATTCGATGCATTTCCATTCCCTTCCTTGTACCTTTTTTTGTTGTTTTGTTTTTTTTTTGGTACTGGGAACTGAACCCAGGGACACTTTACCTCTGAGCTACAACTACCCAGTCCTTTTTTATTTTTTACTTTGAGACAGGGCCCTACCAAGTTGCTGAGGGTCTTGCTAAGTTGCTGAGGCTGGCCTTGAACTTATGATTCTCCTGCCTTAGCCTCCCCCAGTCACCAGGATTTTATACATGTATCACTGACCAGCTCTTCCTTGTACCTTTTTCCACAGATCCCTGGTTCCTTGTTTTGGGAGATATTATTTAGTGTTTTGGGTGCTAAGAGAATGTTGCTGTCTAGGAAGAGTGTCTGTCTATCAGAGCATGTGTAAACATGCATGCATTGTCTCTATACCTATGTTAATTCATACTGTTTCTTTTATTTCCAGTACAGCATCACACTATTGCTTGCTTTTCCTGTTCCATATTTTTATCATCCTTTTCCAAAATGAGAACCTTGGCTCCCAGAAACATAATAGATTTACTCATTTACTTAATCATACAGTGCACATTCAGTAGTTTCCAAAGTACACTAAGAGTTTTAAGATTTTTTTCTCCAACTCTTTTTGACTTTTTGTACTCTTAGTATATACTCAAGAGTATTGGGTTCAGGAGGTACTTGTATTAATTAATATCTCTGTGTGTTTGTTTTTTTGTGGTGCTGAGGATTGAACCCAGGGCCTTGTGCATGTGAGGTAAACACTCTACCAACTAAACTATATCCCCAGCCCTGTGTGTTATAGTTTGGTTCAAAGCTATGTTGATTTGAAACTTCTCTTATTAAGTAATATTGAGGGTGATACAGTAATCTCAGCATTATCACAAGCTTGATTTCATCACACTGATAGGTAAAGAAACATCTCATTTTTTAATTTAAAAATCACTTTTAAATTTTATAGTTTTTTTTTTTTTTTTTTTTAATATGATGCTGAGGATTGAACACAGTGCCTCACGCTTGCTAGGCAGGCGCTCTACCACTGAGCCACAGCCCCAACCCAGTAGATTTGATAGTTTTGATATGCCGTTTCTCACTAACGTACATTGCTATTTGCTTAATTTTATAATTTTTTTATGGAGCTGGTGAATGAACCTATAACCTCATGGATGCTATGCAAGTGCTCTGCCACTGAACTATACCCATCCCTGCTTAAAAATTATTTCCATTCTATAGTGAATGTATATTATTTATATTATATTGAGTAAATGATGATTTAGTATCAGTAAAAAAGTGGCCAAATAAAATTTAAATGCTAAAATTTTTTCAATATTGTTTTGTTAACTTTAAAATCTTCTGATGGGATTGTATTAAAAATTACTTTGTAATACTCCTTGCAATAGGGTATACTGGATTGGTGGAATAGAAAAAGGATACTAGTGGAACAGTTAGTGGAATTCAATTAATAGAAATGTGCCACTGTTAGTTTCTTAGTTGTGACCAATGTGTGGTGGTGCTATTAAGTTGTTAACAGCAGGGGCCACTGGATGAGGGATATGTGGTATCATTGCTGTCAATTTAAAATTATTCAGTAAGTTTTTATTTAAAAACTATTTTATAAAATAATTGAATATTTTAAAAATAATAATTTTTCTTTCCTGAGTCCTGAGACCTCATTGGCCTAGTTTTGTATTGATTTGCCAAGAGTTTAACAAACCATTGTGTTTTTTGTTTGTTTGTTTTGTTGTTGTTTCATTTTCTCTCTGGAGATTAAAAAAAAAAAAGATGTCTTGTCTCGGTCATTTGGACTCTAGTTGTGGTATTATATGAGTTTGTTGGTTTGGTTAGTAACCTCTCAATTCAACCAACCATTGCCATTTGTATTTCATGTCTGTCTAGTGCCACAGGCTTGGACTCCAAGAGTCTTTGTATATGTTCTGGTATTGGGAGTGGCTAAAACGGGGTTGAGTTTGGCTCAGGAGTTTGGAGTAGTTTGTACATATCCTTTATTTGACAACCATTTATAGGGGTGAGGCAGGTGGGAGGTCTGATTTAAAAATTAGGATGCTGAGGCTCAAAGGATAATTAATTTGGCTGATATAATTTCATAGTTTTTAAGTAGAAGAGAAACAGGACACTTGGGACTGCTGTTTTGAGTACATGATTCCAAAATCATGAAAGCATTGTGTATTGCCAGTAGAGCCCCTACTGCCTGAGGAAGGCCATCTTTTCAAGGGATTAAGGCCCTTCAATGACTCCACCAGCATCTTGTGTGGACACCGATGCTTTTACAACTCTTTGGGTCCTGGGTGACCAGTTCAAGCTAGTTAGTGGCCTCCCCTTATGATCTCATCACATTGTCATTGTGATCAAAGGCATGAATGCATGTGTTCATATCCCGAAGCTTGGGAGGATGATTGTTAATAATCTACCTCCTTCCTTTTGTATGGACCTTGTGGATTTTGAGCCATGTAGATATATTATCTCTTTTTTGAAAAATATTTTTTTTTTTTAGTTTTAGGTAGACACAATCTCTTTATTTTTTATTTTTATGTGGTGCTGAGGATCGAACCCAGTGCCCAATGCATGCTAGGCAAGCACTCTACCACTGAGCCACAACCACAGCCTGATATATTACCTCCTAAGAAACATTTACAATAAAATATCAGAAAAAGATACTTTGAAAGGAAAAATTTCATATAACCATATGTCAAACATATTACAAAAATAGAAGGTAATTCTAAAGATGAGTAGAACATACAAAAATGACATAAAATTCTAACTAAATGCTATTTCATGTTTCTACTTTTTAATTGCAATGTGAGTTGTGATGCCATTTTTATAGGAAGTGGGTACTCATATTAATCTTATTTTACAGATGAAGAGACAGCTTGGAGGAGTAAGTGACTTGCCTAAGGTCACACAGCTTCTAAGATGGAGCTTATAAGGTGGAGCTGGTATTTGAAACCTGGGCAACCTAGAACTCACACTCTGACATTGTACAACTTCAGTAGGTACTTCATTATCCCCAGCACTTTTTCCCTCTGTTTCTTTTGTCTTTTCAGTTTCAACCTCTCCATCCTGCTTTTCTTATCTTCTTCCCCTAGACTTGGTTATCAGTGCCACAGTCCCAGTTGCCCCCTTCCTGCTGCTGCGTCCATGTGATGCCCTTCAGAAGCCTCACACTCAGCTTGCCAGAAGTGGAGCACATTCCCTCCCAGCGTGTTCCTGCAGTCTCAGCCTTGGTGTTTAGCTGTTGTTATCCTTGTCTTCATCACCTCCACCCCATCCCCTGTCTGAGCATCATGCACTCTGCTAAGCACTTGGTGTGCAATAACTTAATTAACCCTAAACTATAACCCTCAGATGGAGTCTGTGTGTTGAGTCTTCCTCTTCATTTATTTTTGTGAAATAAAGCTTTTTAGGCTGTACCACCTTTGAATAGAGTGTTTTTGTGAGTGGGGATTCTAGCCTGATGAGGAGCTGGAGCAAAGCTGACTGTTACATCTGGGCCTTGGGATTGTCTCCTTTCAGGATGTCTTAGATTTCCAGTTCAGTGTTCCTGAAGGAGTTGTGTTGTTCAGTTTTAATATTACCCTTAGATGAGGTTGGGGATATAGCTTGGTGTTAGAGTGCTTGCCTAGCATGTATGAGTCTCTAGTGCAAATCCCCCACACTAGAGGCAGGGAGAAAAAGAACAAGAAAATAAAAGGTGAATCTCATTAGAGGCCAGCCTGGGTAACATAACAAGACTCCCATTTCAAAACCAAAAATTACCCTTAGGACTTTAAAATCCCTCTATATTTTCTATGTGCTTTTAAGGGTTAGGTGGATTCTCTGTCACCCTATTTGGGAAACTGGTCCCAGGACAAAAAAGAGACCTCATCTTTTCTCTAAATAGGAATAGTATTAGACTACTTGAGAGGACATAAAAGAGACTCATCTTTTCTCTAAATAGGATAGTACTAGATTCTTGGAAGTAAGGTTTATTTTTTGTTTATTTTTGTTATAATTGTTTCAAATTTTTAAAATTTAAAAATAACATAAAATATACTATCTTAACCATTTGTATATTTGCAGTTCAGTTGTGTTATCCATATATATATTATTGTGCAAGAGATCGTTACAACATTTTTCATCTTGCAAAACCCAAAGTGTATGCCTACTGAAAAACTGCCCTCTTCCCCTGTCCTCATACCCTCAGCAACTACTATTCTACTTCTTGTTTCTGAGAGTCTGACTACTTTAAATACTTCATACAAGTAGAATCATACAGTATTTTGTCTTTTTGTGTCTGGCTTATGTCACTGAGCATATTGTCTTTTAAGGTTTATCTGTATTGTGGCATGTATCAGAACTACTTTTTTGAAGCTGATTTATATTTCATGTATGCATATACTGCATTTTGTTCATTCATTCACCTCCAGACACTTAGGTTATTCCACCTTTTGGTGGCTGTGAATAATGCTGCTATCAACATGAGTGCACAAATTTTTAATTTTTGAGAAACTTCTGTTTTTCACAATGACAGTACTATTTTATATTCCCATTAACAATGTGTAAGGGTTTTAGTTTACCCATCCTTGTCAACACTTTCTATTTTCTGGTTTGGTTTTTGACAGGGGCCATCTTAATGGGTGTATTTTGTGGTTTTAATTTGAATTTCCCTGATTGAGTTCCTTTATATATAGAGAGAGAGGGGCGGGAAAGAGCATGCATGTGCATGTGTGCATGTGTTCCCGTTATTCTAGCATCATCTGTTGAAAGGTTATCATTGTCTTTGTACCTTTATCAAAACTGCATTTATGGGGCTGGGGTTGTAGCTCAGTGGTAGTGTCCTTGTCTTGCATGTGTGAGGCACTGGGTTCGATCCTCAGCATCATATAAAAATAAATAATGTAAAGGTATTGTGTCCATATACAACTTAAAAATTTAAAAAGAGTTAAAAAAAAATACCCCTGCACTGACTAGCAGGGTGTGGTGGTATATTTCTGTAATCCCATTTACTCTGGAGGCTATGGCAGGAGGATTGCAAGTTTGAGGGTAGCCTCAGCAACCTAGGGAGATCCTGTCTGATATTCAAAAGGGCTGGGATGTGGTTCAGTGGTAAAACACTCCTGGGATCAATCCCCAGTACCACGAGAAAAAAAAAAAATACATTGACCATATTTGTGTGAAGTCTATTTCTAGGATCTGTATTCTTTTGTATTGATTTATGTGTCTTTACTGAGATTTAGACCAAAGAAGTTTGTACTTTTAAAGAAGCCCCATAGGATACAAGCTCTGTGAGGGCAGACACCTTGTATTTCTCATCATTCTCATTTGTGTCCAGGACAGTGCCTGGCTCCTAGGAGGTACAGGCAGTGTTCATTGATGAGTGAATGGGTTTGTCTTAAGGATTGATACTAATGTATTCCAAGCACTAAATATACTGCCTGGTACAGGCAAAGTGAATATTTAAGAATCTGGCTTTGCCGAGGTGGTTACTCCTCTTGAGATGATATATTATACTGTGGCTGTGATCAAACTGGTGTGAATGTTGGATAACACCACTGGTAGATGTTACATCAGATGTTAGATAGCCCTTTCTCCAGTTCTGCCCCACCTTCTTACCCTGGCAGTATTCTTGAGTACTCCCTTTCTTCCCCCAGCCTGTCCCCATAAAATATAGTTTGATTGCAGGTTGCTATACTTTTACTGACAGTGTCATTCAGTTAATAGTAATGATTGGTAAACCTGCCTCTCCTCTGCTTTCATCTCCTGTGGTCAAATTCTTTTTCTTAGGGTGGGTTCAAGAAAACAGGATAACTTATTTTAAGTGAACCTTCTCCCCCAAACATTTGCCTAAGGAGAAAGGCAGGATAGATAAGCCAGTATGTAGTTGGATGATATCTATGTATAGGTAGTAGCAGGTGATGGAAGTAGTAGCTTCATCTTGTAGATATGGAAGATGTTTGTTATTTATGAGAAATAAATATTGCTTTTTAGACTTGTCATTTTTTTTTTTTCTGGTGTGGCATTCTCTAGTGTCAGCCTTATGCCCCTTGGCCTATAGGAGAAAGTGACTGGCACTCCCCTAGGCTTGATAGCCTTACCACCATTCACTGTCACAACACAGCTGGCCTTCTCTGCCAGGTTTCTGATGATAGGAACAGGAGCTGTGTGGTTTGTGTGGAGGAATGACTTAGGGTGAAGCCATCACTCAGAGATTCTGTCTGCCCCAGGGGCTACTTGGAAATGGGTTTGGTGGTCCTTATGCCTGGGGAGCAATATCAGAGATGTAAATGTATTTCAAAATAGCAGCAGGAGTCTTTGTGTGTTTACAATATTGCAGTACATCCCTGCCTCTGTGGTCTCAGGTTGGTGGTTGGGCAGTGGCACCTTTCGGTCTCCCTGAGCTTTGTCCAGCTTTGTAAGGAGTCTGTACATCTTGTGAAGTCCTCTGTCTTCTTTCTCAAAAAAAGAAAATGTCAGAACTGAAATATTTGAATCCTGCCCTCTAAGAAGGAGTCAGAACATGGAGCTCTCTGCTGGGTAAAAGAATCCAGACAAATCCTGATGCTCAGGGCCTGGCTTCTGGCTGTGGAATACTGAGCAGGTGGATAGCCCTTCTGTGAAGTGAGCTGGCTGAATTGAATGGGTGTTTTGATAAGTAGAGCAGCCTCAGGCCTTTTTCAGTTCTGCTCATGAAGCTTCCAATCCTTTCATTTTCAAGAGCCACGCACCTCTGTGTTGTGAACTCTGGGTCCTCCTGAGTAATAATCCCATGGCCAGTTAATCTCTGAACTCTTTGCAGCTTGAAGTTCAGATGCTGGTAGTGTTGGGACTGCAACCTGGTGGCCTGAGAGCAGAGGATGTCTAGGCCCACAGGTAGCAGCAGACTTAACTGGGTGTCACTGTGGAGATCCAGAAGCAGGCCAATCTGTGCAAACCCCCTGGCCCTGCTTTCTGCCTCCTATCTACTTTTTGTCCATGTCGGACCTTCTGAGAGCATTTATCTCTTCAAGGGATCTCCTGGAATCCTTCCTAGTGTGGGATACATGAAACTTAAGCAACCATGTGCTGCTTGAGTGATTTTTCTGCTTTGAGCAACAGAACTTCCAGTCAGGAGGGCCCAATAAGGATGATTACTTCCATGCTTTACAGATGAAGGAATGGAACGCAGCAAGGCCAGGTAGTTGTCATATTGTCTGGGGGCTGAGGCTTGTTGTTTGCAATGGGTCCCTAGAGCTCCTTTCTGAGCTGATCTCCCTGTACTTCCAGGAAGGCACAGGAGCCAGGAGGTTACAGGTTGGCCATTGGTGCCCAAGAGAAGTGGCAGTGACTAAGAAGAAGCCAGAGGGATTTCAAGGAAGAGCTAAGGGGGCTGGGGCTGCTGAGTCTGGGGTCTAAGAAGATAGGTAGTGGGGCTTGGAAGTGGCCGTTGATCGTCAAGAAAGGGCAAATGGTATAATACTCTTTAGGAAAGGTGATGAGTTTGTAATATGATCACAGATGATTCTAGAATGGTTTCCCATGCTCCTTTTTAAATGCCTGGTTGTGCTTTACCCTACTTCTTCTTCTTCTTCTTCTTCTTTTTTTTTTTTTTTTGTACCAGAGATTGAACTCAGGGGCCTTAACCACTGAGCCACATCCCCAGCTCTTTTTTATATTTTATTCACTGAGTTGCTAAGGGCCTTGCTAAATTGCTGAGGCTGGCTTTGAACTCTTGATCCTCCTATCTTAGCCTCCCAAGCCACTGGGATTATAGTTGTGTGCCACAGCACCTGGTACTTTTCCCTACGTCTTAAGAAGTTCTGCCCTTTGATTTCACTCTCTGGGCTGCCACTGATCAGTGTTCTGATGTTGTCTTCCATTGCCAGCTGCATCCCTTTCTGGAGCTATAGGGCAACTTGTGAAGGCATCTGGTACCACAGTTCCTCTGGGCTCCACTGAATAGGGTGCTCTTTCCAGGCCATGCACCTACGCTTTCCTGCTGAGCAACACTTGTTCAGTCTGTACCCTTGGCCA